TCGAGAAGAAAAGCGAATTTCGTCATAAAAATCGATTTTAACATTTTTGGAAACAAATAACGTAATTTTTAAAATTCCACGCATTTTTATTACGACAAAAACAACCTGTTCACAATATAAAAAATAGAACGATTGCAAAGTGAGGGAGATAAAGATGTATAAAACCCCAATAATATTTGCGCTGACATGGACAATTGTAATTTTTTGTTTTGCAATTTTAACCTGACGATATAATTACCGTAATTACTGTGTTTTAGATTGCCTTTGACATGGCTCTTGCGGACATTGATATGAAGAGTTATGATGAAATAATTGGAGCCAATGAATATGACAAAGAGTGAGTTTCAATATGTTTCTATTTATTCAAATGATATAAGTTCGTAATCTATCCGTTTTTTTTAGATCTTTTGGGAGATTTCATAAAATGTGAGTTTGAATTTCAAATGTTTAAATATCAATGTCTTTAAATAATAATGACTGTGAATGCTTGTTACAAAAGGTTGAAAAAATATTGTTTCGAAAATGGAACAACAAAAGCCATATTTGAAAAAACCAAATTCAATAAGAAGTCAATGAAGTACATAAGCTATACAAGTAACGAATTCAAAAACAATTGTGGTGTGCTTTACGATTTGAAGTAAGAGCATTCTTTTCGATGAACTTTTCAAAATAAAAGTATAAAATGTACTAAATATGTTATCTAGAAAGGCAAATCCGTCTGTAACTGGTATGACGGATCCAGAGTTGGCTTTCAGAACATTATTTGAAGCGGTAAAATCAATATATGACACATATGAAAGAAGGTAATGATTTTATTGGTTTCTATGTGGATTTTGAGTGTATCGATATTTCATAAAATGCACAGATTAGTCGGAGAGGATAATAGTCGTGCGAAAACCATGTTGAAAGAACAATTCGAAGAGGATCCAATAAAATTCCTGCTCAGTTTGACAAAACGAAGATTGGGATTGTGAGTATAAAACTAACTATGAATTGACGCAGAAATATTAATATCTTTTAAATTAAATAGAGAGGAAGACATCGGTACTATTCAGGATATGTATGACATGATTTAAGTACTTAAGTTACTATGGCGATTATATTATTTGCTTTTTTTTGAAGTTTTGAAAATGTTTCACGAGAAGAAGCAGCTTTACGCACATACATACTAGAGAAGGATGATGATGATGATAAGGTGGACTGCTTCAGTTGCCTTCGGATATTACGATACATTTGTTGATCAATCGACTTTAAAAATTTTGATATTTAAATATACAAATATAAACGATATTCGATAAGTACCCCGATCTATAACTCGAATAATCAATTTGTGGCATATTTTATCAATAAAAAGAAATTAATTTATTTATAAATATACATTTGAAGGATGTACCATTTTTTGACAATTTAAAGCTTACAGCAGTCTATTCAGAATCAATAACTAGAATGTAGTTAGTGCTATCACATGATGCGGAGATAATATTTTTTCTGACAAAGGATGGTGTCACCCGTGTTTTCTCTATGTGCCTTTGAAATGGCACGGACGCAGAAGTCTGCACCTTTGCGTATATTTATAAAGAATGAAAGAGATGTGAGAGTGTATCTATGTATGTGTATGTGGGCGACATTGGTTGTACGTCTGAATACAAGTGAACAGTATCATCATTGAATACGCAAAGGTGCAGACTACTGCGATTGTGCCATTTGAAAGGCACAACGAGAGAACACGGGCAATAAAAAAAAATAGTCTTTGCCTTCAAAATTGACATCGATTCCCACTAAAAGTGGCCTGATACATGCGATACATAATTCTAAGAATTTCATTAAATTGATGCACCTACGTCATATACAAAATGGAAATACAAAATACCGGTTTGTGGCTAAAAAAGTATGACGGAAAAACGTGGATAACAATCGAACTATAGTAGGCAAAAAAAATCCCCATAAAGATTACATTATAAGCCAAATGAATATGAATTTAATTGTACCAAATCGTTCATGCGTCATATTTCATCAGATGCTGATGACGATAGTATTACAGGAATGTAAATAAGTTTGTTTACTTAAAAGAAACTCAACAAATCGATTGAAATAAAGAGTCCCAATGAGAAAGTAATTAGTAATTTTATTATTTTTTTAAATTTATAAGAAAAGTTTTTGCACCTTCAATTTTAAAATTGTGTATAGAATCTCTTATTTTTCTCTTTTATAGAAGACATTCTCTCATTTTACGCTCATTTTCATAAAAATTCGTTGAATTTTAAATACAAGTATATTAATTATCTTGTCAATATTATCTCCAAGAACAATAATCAAGCGCATGATGAATGAGCCAAAAATGTTTAAATTAAATTGTATATGGTGAGAGAAAAGACTTTTTCTCAGTCTTTAAAACGTGTTTACGTTTTTCAAACTGATTCGATTTTTGAACGTGAAAATGATGAACAGTATTGTGATACTTTTGATGATAATTTCAACAATCGTAATTTCCAATAATCGTGTTTATTTCGGAACTCTTCAAAAAAGTATATAATTGTATAATTTCAGTTTGCCTGTGACCAATTTGCGAACAAAGAGAAGAAAAATTACGACGATATAATCGGAGCAAATACATACAATAAAGAGTTGGTATTAATTCATTTAGTATTTTACTGATATAATCGTGGTTCTGTACATTTTGATATTCTTTTTTCAGATCCTTCGACAGATTTTATAAAATGTAAGTTAAGGTTTCATATTATTAATACTCTATGTCCAAATCCATTTTCAAATTTAATCGTTTCATTTAAGGCTGAAACACTATTGTTTCCAAAATCAAACAACTAAGGCCATATTTGAAAAAAATAGGCTAAATCTCCCATCGATAAAAAATATTGGGCTTGCTTCGAACGAATTCAAGGATCTATGTGCGGCTATATACGATACAAAGTGAGAAACACAATGTTTAAAAATGAATGCGTTTCGCGGCATACACTGTATGATTTCGCATGAAAATCGAGGATATTGACACTAAACGTGCGAGAGTATGTTTAGTGCAATGCAATCGAGTGCTGAATTTACATGCTAGT